CCGTATTTGGAGGAAATAGTCTGTTGCTTCAGAAAACAGCACAATCCTAGAAGTAGGTATTTTATTTATAAATCTCTCTTCAAGGATATCACAAGAGACGATATACAAAATTCTGATTGTTTAGGTACCTAGCCAAGTGATTATAGTGCTTGCCTTCAAATGTGAAGGTTGCTGATTAGTTTCCAAGCAAAGCGAATTCCGATGATTGCTCAACCAGATCAGTGTTGAAGGTAACATCAAATCAAGGTTAAGTTTATTACAAATATTTTTATAAGTTTTGCATTATTTAAGCATCTGCTGTATTCAAATTATCAAGCTCAAGGTTGTATTCTGTTACAGATTCGTAAGTTTCTGTTCAGCATCTGGTCCAGGAACCTTACGTTGAATGGTTGGGACTTTTTCTATGTTTCCAAAGCCATATTTTACGAAGTAAGCATACAATATAAACTGATAACTAACTATGTTACTGAATCATATTAGTTTATTGATCAAAATGATGATTAATATAAAATCGATATTATAAGCCAAATGACAAACCAACCGATATTCGTGAACTAAAAGTCTCAATACGTAGTTCGAATTGAGTACGTAGTATATTTATCTCAGAACTAGTAGATCGAACTTGTACCCTTTGCTTCTGAGTAGTGTGCAAAGTGCAAACCTAGTAGATTAATTCTTTAAATCGAAGTGTAAAAACAATGGCAGAAATTTAATATACAACTCCATCATTAAATCAGTTGATCATCAAATGCTCCTATATGATGATATGATTATCGAGAATAGAGTAGTCTTAGATTGATAGGGGTTTACGGTTTCACAAAACATTCACACTACATTGGTTAACTAAATAAATAAATAAATCTTTATTGTCACATAACGTTTACAAAATATAGCAATGTTGTAAAATAGGTGTTATTGTCAATACAGTATACCTTAAAACTAAGGAGTTATAAAAGAATAAAATAAACTAACGCTATGAAAATAGAAATAATTGTTGTAGACATAATAGATAAACTTAAACATTGCATTTAAAATACCAACTAATTACACATCTTGCTTGATCACATAAAAACTCATCTATACTATAATATGTTTTCCTTAAAAGAAAATTAGTAAGGAAAACATATTAACTCGGTCATAGTAATGGAATATACCTTTATTTATGAAAACCGATGGTGCATAATATCAGTTTTGTCTGTTTCAGGTGGTTTCACAGATTGTTTCATACATAATTTTGCTAATTCAGTTCAAAATATTTCAGTAGTTGTAGATTTCCAAGAAAAACTAATTGATGATTAAATTTATGGACCCAAAATAATCTGGTGTATTTTTTTATAACATCAGTCATGAAATATTTGTATTATTTTACTCTTATAATTTGAAAACTAATAACAATTTATAAAAGATTAACCATTAACAAATTGTAGTAATATTTATAACTTTACAAATAGTTAGCAATATATTTCCCAACAGCGGCAGACTGCATTCTTACTCAATCGATAAGTAACTTAATTTACGAAGGTTGGAGGATTAAAATTTTAACAAACATTGTAGCCATGGATGGATATGTAATAAATCAAATAAATTAGGTATTTTTTTATAAATGTTTAGTTCATCTAGTTTTAGCGAATTTCCCATATAGGGAATAAGCTATTGCCGTAGTACTCATGGTAAGACCTGGACCCAGGACCGATTTAACTTTTTGTTTTGAGGTCCCTAGAGGCCAAAAACACCATCCGTTCAAACTCAAGAAAAACAAAAAAAATTCATCCGTTCATATATATGTGTGTGTTAGCGCGATAACTCGAGCAAAAATGATCCAATTTTGATGAAATTTTGTACAAATGTGTAAACCTACGTTTATTCGAACGAGTTCGCAAACCAGCATAATCGGACCATGGGAACAAGGGTTTATAGGGTAAAGATGGGGTTTTCCCATTTTTTACCCAAAAAATAAAAAAAATTTCAATTTCTTTTTTTAACCGTTTTGTAGAGCTTAAAACAAAATAATTTAGTATATTGAAGCGCTGTTGTATGCCTAACGGTTACGGAGAAAATTAAAAAATAGTGTATTTTATAATTCCCATGTTATTCTTATGGAGAAAATTAAAACTGTTAAAGTTTACTTGTTTATGGATATATGTTGATAAAATTTGACAAATTTATTTATTTCATCTTATACTATTGACGTATGGTTAAAAAAAAACTGTTTACCTTCCCCGTAGCAGCAAACCTAAGCACTCGTTAAATCTAATGTTATTCAAATTGTGAATAAATATGTCTTATTTACGGAAATATTTTAGTAGAAATGTAATCAGACAAGTTGAAATTCGCTTAGTCTGCAGGTTTGCTGCACGGGGGTATTATTTCCTTTCATGATGATATTTTTCTTGTGTTGGTAGTTTATAATGTTGTATTTCTTGTTACCTATTAATAAATTTGTGTTAGTAAAAATAAAAAGTAAAAATATAAGGTGGTGTTACATTTTGTTCCTTTTAGCGAATTTCCCATATTGGGAATAAGCTATTACCGTAGGTCCATGGTAAGACCTGGACCCGGGACCGATTTAATTTTTTTGTTTTGAGGTCCCCAGAGGACAAAAACACCATCCGTTAAAATTCATATATATATATGTCCGTTAGCACGATAACTCAATAAAAATGATCCGATTTTGATTAAATTCGGTATAAACGTGTAAACCTACATTTATTCAAACAAGTTCGCGAACCAGCATGATAGGGCCATGGGAACGGGGGGGGGGGGGGGGGGGGGGGGGTTTATGGGGTAAAAATGTGGTTTTCCCATTTTGACCCTAAAAACAAAAAAAATTTTGCAATTTCTTTTTAAACCGTTTTGTATAAATATTTTGTTTTCCTTATTTTTTATGTTATATTTTTTATATAAATATAATATAAATATATTTTATATTTATATTATATTTATTTTTTTTACATATTTTTATATTATTATTTATATTTTTTATATTATTTTTATATTCTTAACTCTATTACCTTAAACATTAATTGATCAAGCTAGTACAGTAGACTAGTCATTTGGTCAGTTTCAAACTCAAATAAAGGCCACACTTCTTACTTTGTGTGTAATAATTGTTTAGTAATGCTTATAAAAGGTTACTATAAAGTTGTATTACAGAGCATTCAATTTTAAACAAGCTGCTAATCGATCGAAACGCGTGCCAATCGATGATAGATTATGAAAAAAAGTTGCTGAGGTTTGTGCCGATGTCAAGGTCAATTGACAAGAAGTAAACAATTGCCGAACATTTCGCGAATGGCTAGTAGACAGTAGTACACAACAGCTGCGCGGTTAAGCCGAAACACGGTAGAGTTAATTTAGTAAAAGAGTTTGTGCACAAATACGTTAAAATGTTACAAACTATTTTCAAATTATTATAACCTAAAAAAAAACAATAAGATAAGATAAAAATATAAACTTGATGCTATTCGAAGTCAATGGTAAAGGTAGGTCCTAACCTCACATTGCGCTCAGCTATCTCAAAAGGCAGAGTTTAACGAGACAAATAATAACTTGTGTTGATTGTCTTAAATTTACCCATGTCTGAATGATGTATGTAAAAACAAATTCGATTATAATTACGGATTTTGGTAAATAATAAAGACAACACAGATGTTAAACATATACGTTTATTAGGTAGTTCTTAAAATCCATTAACTCTTAAAATTCACTCGGCACACATTGAAAATTGAGGCAATTTTTAGCTAAATAACCGAATTTGAATTTGAACATAGTTCAACATTTTGCAGAATAAACGTATACATGTAAGTTTGCAAAACAAAATAAACCTACCGGTATGTCGGTTTAGTTATAACAAAAATAAAACTTAGATATGAAAAAACAAATGACAATAATATATTTTGATAAACAACATTAGTTACATGCACTATATCTCGTAGATATTGGTAACTTCTACGAGCTTGCCTGTATTATTTATTCAAGTATGTCGCCTACTGTGATTTAACTTATTCCATACTTAATTACTAATGCATATATTATTTAGTAAGCCTGTCTGTATTATTTATAATTTATCTTATGAAACTTATTTATTGTGCATGTAAACCTTAATTGATGTAGTTTGATTGCATGTATCTCTCTGATTACCTTGTTTACTATTTATTGACATGATCTATTGCATTTTATGTATAATGTTTAATGATCAAATAAATCTATCTGTCGTTCACGGACACAAAAAGAATCCCGATCTATCCATCTACCTACAATAACATTTATGATATAAACTAGAAACAAACAGTAAAGACAAAAACACACTGCAGAAGTGCCGCTGCCGGCTACAGTCAACAGTCCTGTGAGAGTGGAATGGAAGTTGGATGGAAGTCAGTTGCAGTTCAGCACAATGTAGTCTGCTTCCGGCGACCGGCGGCGTCGGCTTCCCGCGTAGGCCTATTCATGGTGGTAGATAGTGTACACCCAACTTACCTTCTGCTTCTTCCGAACCATCGCCACTCGCCAGTAAACCGTAAATTTTGGTTTACTATAAAATCAATCAAGAAAGTATTGCAAAACGGTTTATAACTAATAAAATTACTTTAAAAAAACTGTAATAATGATATCAATTAAATTCACTGAATAATACGATTTTCACGCATATTTCACGGCTGTTAAAATTCACACATAATTCCCGATTTTCCCTGAATTCCCGGCCGCTGACAACCCTGTATAAGGAACCTTATTTCACCACCACAGGAGTGCAGGGGTTTTAGCCAACTGAACCCACTAAAAAAATCCAAACTGCGGTTATAACATTTTCTTTTGAAAGGGACTTTCCTCTAAGGATTCCTAGAAAGACAAGTATGGAAGAGACTTATGAGTACCTACCCCCTTTAGTTTATAGGAGATTGTAGCACTTAAATCAATGATAATTTAAATTGGTTTTTGTGCAATGTTAAATCCAAAGATCAGTCTTCAAATATTCATTTGGAACTAATCCCAGCAAAACTTACCTGGTTTAGGTAGAAGTACTTGTCGGCTGCCAACAGACCGTACTTGAGCTTGGTCTCATCACTCAGTCCAGCCAGTAGCTCGTAGAACACATGATAGTTGCGTTCATCAGGAGCTTGTGTCACTATACGCGACTTCTCTAGCAGATACTCCGTTACTTTGGCACCCAGAATCACTCCGCTGTGGATGAAAAGTTTTCAAATTTAATAATAGGTAGTCAAAACATTTTTTTGAAGTAGACATATTAAATTTACTTACGTTATTTGTATAGGCCTAATAGGCCCTACCTTTGAGCCTAGTGGTTAGCGCCTCAAACTTTGATGCGAGATGTACGAGTTCGATAACCGGCAAATACACAAAACATTCAAGGGATTTGGACTGCATTCCCTTAAAAGCGCATGATACAGTTGTTGTCTCTCACTAATCCAACACTAGTGTACATGTTGCTCGAATTTGAGCAATTGCAAAGTATTACAGGAGTTAGAATAATAGTCATATTTACAATGAGTTTAGAAGAGTCAACTCAAAGATTACCGGTGTGTAGCTCAGACCATGTTTATCTTCGTTATTGATAAACCTAAAGCATTCCGGCCGGTTTTCTCCTTCTCAAAATGCCTCGCTGTACAGGCAACACAGGTCATTGATAGAGGGCCAATTGAGAACAAAAAGTTGTTTTGGGGTAGTGTTAGGGCGCATTTGTAACCCAATAGTTGAGATTGTCCAGGGTCAGGTGCTGACTGTGATGAGTTAAGCCTATTACGCGCCACTGTTCTGTAGCTGCGGTCATTATCATGATTACGCCCCCTGTCTATGTTTCGTTGTCGTCGCATCGGAGGCATTTAAAAGAAAAAAAAAACAAATAAACAAATTATAGCTACTCAAAACAACGATAAATGCACAAATTTAAGTTACAATCATGCTAACACGATCCGTCATAGCGACACAAAACAAGGATAAATACACAAATTTAAGATACAACCATACTATCACGATCCGTCTTGGGGGTTATGTTTACACAAACTCAAATAGTAAATAAATGTACTCAATGCGTTTTGTTGAATTGAAAAATAAATAACAGCAATTAAATTATACAGCTGATCAAAATGTAAACAATTATGTTCTTCATAAGGATAACATGGGAACTTTCAAAGCCACTGGGGCAGAGCCCAAGGGACTTTTTCAAAAATGTAAGGCCAGTTTGCAAATCTAGGCGACACGCTCCTTCCAAAGAGACGTGAATGGATGAAATCGGTCAAGAAATGGCGGAGGACTTCAACCGACAAAGTTTCATGTAGCATATTAATTATATAGATTTTGTAGTCCAATATACTCGGTAGTTTACCACACTGCCGACAGTCTCATCAGTGGGAAAAGCCAGTCTTTGCGACAAGATTCCCCACACAATAGTATACTCACCGTCATTGTATAGCCTAGTATTTGTACTTTTTGTTAACCTAATTGTGTTTTTAAATTGCGCGCTTGATATCTATTAATAATGCGTTAGAAAATAATGGTCATATTTTATCTTGATCAAGTGGATTAAGGAAAAACCCCATCTTGATTCAAAAAATTTCTTCTGAATCAAAATTCAACACTATCCCGGTCTTTTACCTGTCAGATTATCAGGAGACAGCTGAACTTTCATTGAAAATACTACTGAAAGAAATACAGTTAAACTAGCTACAAACAAAACATAAATACCTAGAAAGAACATAATATACTATTGTTGCTAAGTTTTACACTGAATTATTTTTTTTTTCTATACATTTTTTACCTCCCATCTAAATTAACCTCTTCGCAACTCGAGTCTACGCACAGGCCCTGCCTATGTAGACTTTTTCCTTTGTTATAGAAGGTATTTGTTTTTTTTACACTTTTGTTTGCTTTATTTCTACAGTATATAATTTTTATTGTGTTATCTAGTAAGTAATGTTTGTTGTATTATATTTAAGTAAAGAAAAAAACAATGTACTCATATGTATATAATTAATGGGAAATAAAAATATTATTTCATTCATTCATAGAAACATCTCAACGCTATAGCTGAGTAACATATTTACTGTGGCAATGCAAACACTAAATTATTTGAAATGTATTTGAGCTTATGAACATTTCCTCCTTCCAACAACAAATAAAATAATACAAAAACCAAAGACAAACAAAATTTAGTATTTGACAAAAAATATGAAATTTAAAATCAACGACCATAGCTAGCTGAAATATAATCTTTTCTAAAAAAGTTCCGTCATCAACCATATGGCTTTACCTTACAAGATAAACCAATATATCAATTATATGAGAAGTTCAGAAAATTAAAAACTTACTCTTTGAAATGCACTTCCAGGAACTTTCCAAACCGAGAAGAGTTGTCGTTTCGGACGGTCTTTGCGTTACCGAAACTCTCCAGGAGTGGGGACGCCTCTAATATCTGCTCTGTGATGAGATTGGAGGGGGCTTTGTTGACTGCTGCAAGATACTGCATAACCTGTCATATGGGACACATAATAGTAGTTAGCATTGATTATAGTACCTCCAACACCGTCCTATAACATCTAGTTTAGCAACAGCCCTGGTTAGACTATGATTTTTATCATCTCTAAGGGACTCCAATCAGATAGTAAAAACATTACAAAAATTATAAACATTAGGTTCTCAGGTATGTGTATCATATTTCTTATTCCTAAGAAATACACTTCTAATTCCTTGAGACTTTGAAAAAAAATATTGGATTTTTGTTCCTTTATAATTTTTAAAGGAATGTGTTTTAATGTTCATGTCCTGTACTACATGCTCCCAACATATGATCATCCTTATCAATTGACTCTATGACTGATTCAACAAAATTCACAATTGACATAATAGTGGATGGGAACTTATCTTTCCTAAACAATTGGATGTCTAGAAACGCATGTAAGCTTTGTGTTTTAAATTTGGTAGTCCTCAACAGAAAATGACTAAAAAGTAGGACATGAAGTTGTCTGCATAATAATTTAGCGTAATTTCTCACCAGTTTTGTACTCTCAGTTTTCCCGCTACCAGACTCCCCAGAGATGACGACCACTTGTGAGCTCCTGGGCAGAGCTGCGTAAGCCGCAGACCCGATGGCAAACAGGTGCCTGTAAACAGTTGACACTTTTTAGTTACTAGTGTTTTTCATGATATTGCCACAGTGGAATATGGAAAAGCAGAATACAAGCTGGGCTATTTCGAGTAAAATGTTAAGAATTAAAAGATCAGAAGAGGGAACAGAACAGTTTAAGACAGAGTAGAAAAAGCAAGAAAAAGATGGTTAGGACTTGAGATAAGAATTTGTGGTATGGGGGGAATAATACCAATTGTAGGGATGGTCAAGTCTCGAAATTTCGGGAAATTTTCGGGAAATTTTCAATCTCGTTACACGAGACAAGATTACTTTTTGGCCGAGATTTTTATCGAGACGAGAAAAAAAAAAAATTAAAAACGCCTGCAGAAAGTCAATGCAATACCCGCAATACAGGAGCGTGTTGTAGTTGCGTTTCCTTTTCGAAGGCGTTCTTATTTAATCAATTCTTTTAATGTAAATATTACTTTAATTCTTTTAATGTAAATATTACTTTCATTATTTTAATAATATAATTTTAATAACATTTGAGAAGTTTTGTTAAGTGTAAGCAGTGTGAGGAATGTTTTGTTACTATAAAAAAAGTCAAAACAAGTAACTATTATATAAAAATTAATATTGCTTTTATTTTATGATTTATTTTATTTTAGGATAAGTTGAACTCTATCCTAACTGATATCACCATGTTTCCTAATCGTAGGCATTTTTAATAAGTTAGGCGTGATTAATAAAAAAATGTTATGCTGATGTTATTTAATGAAAGATTGTAAATATTCTTGCCTATTATCATTATTTTAGTATTTAAACAGTCATCTAACAATGTTACAAAATCAGGTAAAAATTTCGAACGTGCATTTCCCGTTGTGTATGAGAAGAGAAATCTCGTTTCGATCTCGTCTCGAAATTTTATGAGAAATAAAAAATCTCGTCTCGTCTCGTCTCGAACTAAAACTCCAATCTCGTCCATCCCTAACCAATTGTAAACATAGAACAAGGTTGATAGATTATGTGAAGAGGGATGAAGTAGAGAAGAGTGAAAAGGCAAATGGTAAAAGAAGAACTGAAGGATTAGGAGCAGATGGAGAGGCCCACTTGCACCTTAGAGTTTGTCACGCTACTATCTTTGAATGCCATATTCCCATTCTAAAATGTATCAAGGGAGAAGTAAGGTAGGGAACTTGCTTTTGGACAACCGTGCGCTTTCAGCTCTAGTATGTTATACCATTATGTTATGGAATATACTTGTGACTAGCAAGGTTGAGCCCAAACGGTGAGCACTGTGTGGAAATTCCTATCCCACAGGATCTTCCTTCACCGTGAGCGTTGTAGTACAATGAGCGTGTCGGGGAGGTGTTGGACTTTGACCTCAGCAACTAGTGCTAGACACCACTTAAGTGTACCATTTATTGAATGTTTCTCTGTACTTAAGTTTTTTGAGGATACATCAACCCTGTGCTTTTTGAAGTACAGTTTACAATGGAAATGCAGTCTGAAAATCATCCCCTTGTAAAGGACTAACAGTTTTTATAACAAAAAACTAAGTGATCTTTTATTTTGTTTAAAAAAAAAAACTGATCATTAGGAGGAACGATTCTCTCAGTTAAAGGACATACACAGGGTTTTTTCTTCAGAGAAGTAAGGGATAGAAGAAACATTTAACGGTGCACTTAATCTACCACTCAGCCTCTGTTGTCTAGTTCTCCACTACTAGTCGTCAAACTCCCCTACTAGTTCTCCTTTCCCCCCTCGCCATTATGTGCTCTAACGCTTACGCTGGAGGAAGACCCTCTCTGTGCGAAAGGAACTTCCACACAGTGCTGGCCGCTCAGACTTTTCTTTGCTTGTCACATCTATATTTCTCCAAGCGCAACAACATACTACATACTTACTAGCACAACATACTAGAGCTGAAAGCACACAGTCTCCCATTTAAGCAAGTTTTTCTCTGTACCTTACTTCTCTGTGGGGTTTTTAAAATAGGCTACCACCTCTATCTGAACTATAAACTGTACTCAAAGAATATGTGTTCTTAGAACCTACACCCAGTAGGCATATTTTGTTTTATAAAAATGAATTTAAACTATCTTATAGGCTACTTCATTTCACAATCAAACTAAAGTATAAGATCATCTTTGGTGGAACCAACAATTCTTCTATTGTTGTTAAGACAGGTATTTACAAATAGGCCTACCTATAAAATTTACTTAACAATCAGCTGTACATGTTTATACTTACGGAGGAAGTGTTCCTAAAATCTGCCCCTCGTACTTTTTCACGACGTCCAGGCCATACATGTCGTACATCTTGTAAGGATTTACAGCTACAAGAATACTGCCAACGTAAGTCTGAAATTTTAAATGTAAAAAATCAAATTTTTACAAAGAAAAATTTTCAAACACATTCTTTTAATAGTAACCTTAGTCAGAAATAAAGTAACACAAATACTATAATAATTTAGAAATAACTCCCTGTCCCAAAAAAACCAGCAGACTAAGTTAATTTCCATTTTGCTGGTTGGATTTTTACTAAAAAAGGCCTTAAACATGTAAGATTATTGGTCCCTATTTAAATAAGATTAAGTTTATTGAGTAGGTACCTACTTAAGTTTACTGCCACAGGGAAAGTAACAAAGTGTTATTTTGTTAGATAATATGAAGTAAAAATACATTTTGTCTAGTTAGGCCTACAGATTTTTAGTAAAAAAGGTCTACTCACGTAAATAAGTTCTCTGTCGTAGCGAATTTTTAAATTCCATAGTAGCGACGCTTCGTTCAGGTCCCTGAAAAATTTAAATAATTTTTAAGTTGAAAACAGGCCAACAACTGCAGGCAGTTTCATCTCAAACACAAGGCAAAAAATAATTTAAGCAACAGAGTAGTAAGTAGTAGCTAAGGGAGTATGTTTAATCTATGGTAGTAGAGTGCTGTATTTCCTTAAATTTTATTCATATCTCACTATTCAAGCTTCTTCTGTAGGGTTTTGAATACCGTATACACTTGAGATCAAGAATCAAGAATTTTTATTTCCACAAAATGCAGGGTTACATTCGATATTCAAAACCAGGGATATCATATTATTACTGTGTAAACTTACCTATGTGTATATACAGCACCTGCCAGACAAAAACCCAGGTGTTTAGAGAATTTTTGGGGAGCTTGACAAGCAGGGGCTTTCTGGAGACTTTAGGTGTTAATAGAGGTATTTTATACTATTACTATGCAGTACTGGAAAATTGCAAATTTGGTACGTTAATCTATGCCACAGTCAAGTGCTTAACTAATGAAATATTTACAGATTATTAATTCACATTAGTGACATAAGTCACATTGTTGTCAGTCAACTGATAAAAAGAAAACATTTAGGCTACAATCACTAATGAAAATTGGGGATACCGTTTATTAAAATATTCAATGGGTTTTCGGGGACATCCGGGATCCTCTACTAGTTAATACAGGGCCTCATTCTGGAGATCTTGCATATCTAAAAGACCCAATCACCCTGTGTATTGAGAAAACTACCTTTTTCATGTTAGGGTTATTATATTAAGCCAGGTTATGGCTTGTATACCCGGTTCGGCCAGATTTATGAGGGTTTACTGTACAAAACTACACTTCTTTGGGTCTACTTAGTACCTACTTAGTCATGACTGCTGGTAGCTATTGTGTAGAGGTTAGTCGAGAAGAACACCGAATACACATCTTATACAACTTAGATTGAGTCGCTAAGTTTTCTGAATTGTTCACAAGGAGTTATAATGTTGGACTAGTTAAACTGAAGTTACTTACGAGAGTTGTATCATGTCTTCGACACCATTCTGTCCGAGATCTTGCCTTCTCCTTACCCCAGTTGCGGAAGTCAACGAGAAAACTTGTGGCTGAAACATCACACAAATAAATTAATATCGGTCTGTATACAAACCATGTTATCTGTGGTGCTGTTTAATAAACTATTGACAAGCCATTCGTCTTTCCAAAAATCTGAGTCACATCCACCAAGGGAGTTTAAATACTTACTTAATGTGTATTAGACCTATTAACCTAGTCTATGTTTAATTTTTTTTTCACATTTTAGATGGAATTTAAGTTATTGCCAACTTAAACCCTGAAATAAACTGACAAATGAAGTTTATCTATTTATAAATGTTTTAATTTTTGAGGAACGTTAAAGTTAACTTACTTATTAACATTGAGTAGGCTATACACGTATAAGTTAAACTCAATGTAATAATAATAACACTAACTAATACAGTACTAAAACAACAACTACTATTTTTGATTACTACTACTATTTTTTGATACTATTTTGTTTCCTGTCATTTCAAGTTGTAATGTTTTTTCATTGTAAAGTGGCTATGCCGTTGGGTATAAAGGCTGCACTTTACTTTAGGTCCTACACTCATTCAAATGAAAATATTGATCGATATATCGAATGAAACAATCGAATAATCGTTATTTTCATTCGGTTGTTTGTGTAGGACCTAAAGTAAAGTGCAGCCGGTATAAATAAATAAATAAACAAACCCTATGTTGTGTCTCATATATGTTTTATTATTTAGCTCTGTTAAACGAACCAAAATTATTCAACTAAAATAATGAAGTGATCACCTGACACCTTAAGGCCTGATGATGGTTCAGAAAAACTGAAACTAGTTGTCAAAAACAGCAACAACTAGGCCCTATATGCAGGTATCATAAAAAGTTAACAAAACCCCTCCTTACATGGATCTCACTAATAAACAAATAGGCCTAACCACTAAAATGTCAGTTATAAGTTTGATAAGGAAAGAACAATTACTCCAGTAGGCTACCAAGTGATGATAATATGAAGGTTAAATGTTTGTATGTCTATGTTTTGTTTAGTTAGGCCTAATTATGTTTTGACTTGAGCTAGCCTATTTTAAGGCAATTATTGTGATGACTTAGGCCTACTATTATAGAATCTTACCAAAACATTCCAAATTCAAGAAAGATGCCCAATTCAGGATCTTCATAATCAGTATTGGAAGTTGAAATAAGTTATTATAAGTCACAAACAAACCCCTGCAAAGCCTGTTAGGATAGGACTAAAAAGAAATTTAATTTACAAGTGCTAAGTTAACTAGTGCAATGAAGAATCCAGTTCCAGTAACTCATTGAAAGAACGAAAGAAGCCAAAGTTAACCTAGCTTTCAGGGAATGTCAAGTGTCAAGTGAAGTGTTACAATACAACACAACATAAAACATAACAACAACAACCAAAATCAGCTGTCAAATAACATTTCAAACACAGATTTATTTAAAACAGCTGGTTGGAGTTTTTTCACTCTTTCGGTCTTTCACGCTGAAATCGATTAATATAATAAACCGTTGATCATAAACTGTGTTTAGCATCAAATGCGTACGGCGGGCATAAACATATCATTAAATTGTCTCCAGCTGAAATATAAATTTATTAAATTCTATGTAATTATTTTTTGTCCAGCGAGTAATGTTAATATGAGTACCTACATAGTTTACGTAAATTATCTTCATTAGGTTTGGCCCACAGAAAAATCCCATTAATTAGTTTATAGTCTGTGGTTTGGCCTCGCTGAAATATTTCATTCATCACAAGCGTAATTTTCCGCCAAACATTTACTTGGGGATAGTACCGTAAAAATATCATCAAGCAGTAGCGGTTCTAGGGGGGGGGGGGCAGGGGCTAAAGCCCACCCGAGCCCACCCCCCACCAATTGGACCATAGAAAAATTAATTTAATATTTCGTCTTAAAAACGTAACAGAAGTATTTGGGTACAGTTCTAGACGTAAAAAAACGTTAGAAAGTCGCCAAACGAATTTAAAATACAATTTTTTTCCGAAGGTGGAACACCAGACCCTTTCTCCTTTTGTTCCACTACACCCCCAAACCCCACGGTAGCGCCCCCTTGACAATGTTCAAGAACTGCCACTGCATGACATCAAGGACCGTACATAAAATGTCTGCTCTCCATATAAACGTTTCGCGGACGTTTCTCTTGTCTTTCTCCGGGCCGATCAGTCAGCCGTGTAGTATTTGCCCCACTGCCTGGGGGAAGGAAAGGACCACCATTACATCTTTACTCTATGCTCGACAGACGAAGAGTTGCTGACCGTCTGTGTTTAGCCGTTTAGCGTTTAATCGTAGTTCCCATGACGGCCACCGGCCACCGACAGCGCTAACAGTGCTTTGCATATTGCATAAAATTGCATATTACTACCGAGTATGAACATTTTAATGGGCTAATGGGCCTAAATAGCGTTACACTGCAAAATGGAGAAGTTTAGTTAAATTGCACTTTAAAGCGTTTAGAAGTTAATTTAGTTTTCAACCTAATAAGCATAGTTTAAGTTTACCGTGTATTATTTCTGATTCAAATAGTCAATCAAATCAATTATTTAAGACTAGGTGAAACCCGTCGAAATCGACGGTTATTTTCAAGGCCATTCATCGAACTGCGATAAATTGAGTGAAATTGTACATATTTTGAGCATTTAGCATTGTTTAAAGATTAATAAGTGTAAAAAAATAATGATATTGATATTAATTGCATTAGTTACCAAATATGGTTTATCATTCAATGAATAAAATATCTCCCATACTGTACGTCATCAGAGTTATTAGTATATTATCTGCTATCTCATCGTTTGGAAGAACCTTTAAATAGTATTAAAATCGTATTGGTGGATCTTTTGTAGCTAAACACTTCCGTGATTTCATCAGTGTAATGCAGATTAATCTATGATTTTATTTGAAAAAATATCTGTTTGTTGGGATGTCAGTTAGTTGTCTCAGCCATATCAATTACATAAAGTTGTCAATATAATCTCTCTACGGAATGTTAGGTGTAGTGGAATATACTTGAAGTGAAGTTGGCTTTTATTCTTAAACTGTTAGGGGCCTCCTCATTTATATGCGGCTTCATTGGCAACAAATAATGCAATGGCATAGCAATGAGGCATTTCCAAAAAGCAAAAATAATGTAAATTGGCTGTCACGTAAATATTGACGTTTACGTGCATTGTTCATCAACGTATCTTAACGTATCAACGTAAAGGATGATGTGATCTAGTTTAAAAGGAATACAGTATGACCTTTCTGTCATGACAGTAGCTGCTTAAATATTATTTACTCATTGGGCCATATTTACAGCCAAAATGTTGTGTTATTTTCAATAACATATAAGTAAGTTACATAGATTTTTTTGCTGCTGATCAGTGCACTTTAAGAATATATATTTTAGAGATAAATTAAATGGTTTTTGTTGCTGAGTAGCGCTAGTAAACATGCACAACCCTTTTCGTTAGTCTAATAACATTCAAAGGCTCTCTAAGAATTAGAAGAAGTTCTTATTTGTATACATATCTATATTATGTTTTCACTAAGCTGAATGAATACATCAAAGTAACCTCTCTGAAAAGTCTGCAGTATATTGCAGTTTTCCAGCTTAATGACTTACTTTATCATGCAAATATTTCTACATACATATTGTAAAATGTTTTATCCAGTTGCTGTAAACTACTATTAATTTAACAAAATATGGACACGGTTCAAATGGGCACCGTGCCCTACTGCACTTGTAGGCTATTTTTTTGTATTGTATTACACAATTGAATATTTTTCCAATGATTGAAAACATGTATGACAATTATCTCATGAACCTATGATGATCTGCCTAGTATGATAAAAATAAAGACAAAAATGGTGAAAAGGGCAGTCACCAACCCGTAAAATAGATATAAGGTCAATAAGAAATAATTTTAAGAGTTACTATGATAAAAGGATTTCCACTGATTTCGTCATGGAACACGTTATATATTGCAAAACATGATATAATACAGAATGAAATTAATTGAGCGGAGCGAGCGAAGCGAGCGAAGCTCTTATACGTCGACTTTTATGCATTTCGTAATACGCAAACTCCTCCTAGACGGCTGAATCAATCGTTTTCAAATTTTGCATGGTGATAAAGACCATATCGGTGAGTGCCAACATCTATATGGCGTTAAAAAAGTCTCTCAGGAATCCGTAGAAAAATGAAACTGAAAATCACATTTTCTTAACATTAGTCTTATGGGTTGCTAGGTAACCATGTTAGCTGAATTAAATAACAAGTAAAAAGTAAACAAAAGATTTGAAGTTTTAGCATGTGTTCATAATAAGCCAACTACCCACAGTATACTAGGAAATTACAAATACAGTACAAAAGGAAAAACATCACTTGTTAATATTGAGCAAAGATTATACTTAAGATTACTCGATACATTGTAGTCAAGGGTAGCAGTGCGAAGTCTAGGATCTGTTTATGACGAATACATTAAGGTATCTGCAATCCTAAAATGCTATGGGAAGGGAAGGAAACAGGTCCGTGACGTAGGAAGTAGTGAAGGAAGTAGTAAAGGCAATCATAAAATGCTATGGGAATAGAGGGAAACAGGTCCGTGACGTAGGAAGTGATATGAAGGAAGTAGTAAATGCGAGCAGTCCGGAGTGTGGGGACTGTTTATGACGATAAGATTAGGGTATCTGCAATCCTAAAATGCTATGGGAAGGGAGGAAAACAGGTCCGCGACGTAGGAAGTGGTGAAGGAAGTAGTCAAGGCGAGTAGTCCGGAGTGCGGGAACTGTTTATGACGATTAGATTAAGGTATCTGCAATCTTTAAGTGCAATGGGAAGGGAGGGAAACAGGTCCGCGACGTAGGAAGTGGTGAAGGAAGTAGTCAAGGCGAGCTGTCCGGAGTGTAGGAACGATTATGACGATTAGATAAGGGTATGGGCAATCAAAAATGCTATGGGAAAGGGAGGGAAACAGGCCCGTGACGTAGGAAGTGGTGAAGGAAGTAGTCAAAGCGAGCTGTCCGGAGTGTGGGAACTGTTT